ACACAAGACTGATTACTGCCAACAGCAATATATGCAGGAACAATCCGTTTCCATCAGGGACAAGACTCACTCAGTGTTAGCTCTCCCCTTTGCATAAGGTTGGGTGTGTGATGTGTGCAAGTTCAGGAAAGTGAGCATATGTGCGTGAAGAAATGACATATCCCATTCTGAAATTGAAATGGCATCAACATCAAGGACTTAGAAACTGGACAAAATATTATTTTTATGGAAAGTCAATAAAAACATTCTCTTGAAGACAGAAAAAGTGAAAACAGGACCAAAGAAAGGGTACAGTACAGTTTGAAATGATTAAAAACATTGTCTGCAAATTTAAATTCCTGTGTGGGTGTGTGTGCATTTGTGCGTGCATGTATGTGTGCACACGTCTATGACTGTGGGTATATGTGTGTGTAGTTATGGCAAACGTTTGCAGACCAAAAACTTGGATTACTTCAGATAGTATTCGACCCCCTCCCCAAATTAAAGCATCCTGATAGGCATCAAATGCAGTTATCTACAAAAGCTTGAGGGGGGGGGATCAAAATAATTATATACAATTTTATAAACATTTTAAAGACCAAAACATACATCTTTTACAAACCAGCCTATTTGCAACAGGAAAATTTACAAGACAATCTTTCCAATACAGTGCTTAGAAAAGAACTGCTTCCATTCCCAAACACATTTGTCACTTCCCAAAATGCAGTAGTATGGGCTCTTAAACTCATTAAATAGTAGCAATTCGGGTATTTGCTTGTTGTAAAGATACTGCAGTACAGACAAATGGGTCCAAACACGCTCCAAGTGACTTGACGGTTCTCTAGTGCATCCTAAACATTGCTAGAGACTAATTATGGCCTTTATGTAATATTACATACTTGTAATTATTGCTTTTCATTATTACACGAGGAAAGAAATATCTCATTCTTTTCCTACCTCTTAGCCAGCTGGCTAAATATTAACTGATGACAAACCCACAAATGCTGACTTTAAACCCCAGAATTCCATGCCCAGAGGCTTAAAGACATTGTGGATTCTCATCAGAATCATGTGCAAGACGAAGACCAGCAAAAATACACGACTGTCTGCTCACAAACCACACAAAATGCTGACACAGAAGAGACACCTCTTCAAATCTCCATTTCTTACACTTTGAGGCTGAAAACATAAAACAAGGACCCCTATCTACCTTAGCAACATCTATGCACTGGGAGGGCAGCGGAGTGAAGAGGTCAGACATTGTCTTGACAATCCATGCACAACGAACACTGGATCTTCCTGAATTATTTCACATGAAAATGTTTCTCTGCATCTTACAGGATTTTTATAATCTTGCTTCTCCATTTCCCTGACTTTGATTGTGTAGACACAGAATTGGGGGAGGGGTGAGGCAGCAGGTTGGGCTGAGTGAGAATAAGCAGGAAGGGGTGAACAGAATACATATTTCACTCGAATTCCTCCTCTCCCCCGGACTGTGCTAGTAATTTCAAAGGGCAGTTCAAGGTTAAGTTTCAGGAACGCATTACACATTCCCTTTCCAGGCCTTCACACCAATTCTCTGATAGGTCAAGCCTTAAATGCATGGACTTGACCCACTCATATTGCTAAGTCTTTTAGAATGACATTTCCTGGGTATACAGAAAGCTGGTGTAGAAGGAACCTAGCAGCCAGTACTCATGGAGGAAAAGGAATCAATCAACCATTAACTTCTATCCATCATTTCCTACCCGATGGCTCCTACTTACTATATGACAAACACCACCAGACCCCTATCTTCAACCTAACCATAGCATGTGCAACAGAGGTAAAGTGCCTACAACAGGTTATGTGAAAATGGCTGGAGGAGGTAGCACATGTGAGAAGGAAACACAATAATTGGCTTAAGTATTTTCCATGTGGTTCAGGAGGGTAGTGGGACAGGCACCTAAAGGAAGACTGGCAGGGAGGGGAAACACCCCCCCCCCAAATGTACCTAATGGGTAACATTGTAATCAAAGTTTGCCACAAAATAGAATTAGTCTGAATTCAGCTATGTAGTGATTTTTCCACCACCATTTTAGAAAGCATTCATTTGGGAAAAGTAGCATTTTGATAAATGGCCCCAAGAAATATGTGAATTCTGTAACTGTGACCTTTCTAGATGGCCTGCACGAGAATATCTGGTGTTCAGACCTCCAGGGACAGGTTCTCTGGGAGCATGTTCCAAAGCAGGAATGGAAGGAAGGTCTAGCAGGAGCATGATCACACCCAATGGAACTCTGGGGACCTGGTTCAAAGGAAGTGGAGCTGCTAACCCAATATCCTCCTGTGTACAGCCTTGGAAAACCTGCCAGAAGGGTGGCTATGAGTTGACTCCATCTCAATAGCAATGAGAGAAAGAGAGAGAGAGAAAGAAAGAGAGAGAGAGAGCGAGAGAGAGAGAGAGCTAGTTATTTAAGAATACTGGCCGTGTGGACAAGATCTATCAAGCCAACCTGCACATTAGCAAGCCCCTTCTGCTCTCTGGGCAGGTTTCTTCTTTTGTCAGCAGCCACCCCACCTAGTGCCATCTTGGTCATTTCTTCATCTACAGGGATATTCCATTTCCCTGTTAAAAAGTGAAGAGCTATGATGTATTTTAAAAGAATGAGTCCCAATACAAACACTCCTTGCCTAGTATGCACTGAACATCTCTGGAGCTTCTCTGCAGAAGTCTGGAGCAGAAGATCCTACAGAGAGCATTACTTTGTGTATGTCAGGGCAAAGGAGTGGGTGGGATGTCCTTCCGTGATTGCACAACTGCGGCAGGATCTATTCATTCCTTTATTGCTGTGTCAGTCAGGCAATCTCCCTCAAAGAGATGCTGTGTATGCTGTGGTGACTCATCACATTCGTCTTGATCTATTATTTTCTGGAGGCAAGCAATGAATTGTTGGGTTTACGCTGATGGCTTTTTATGTCATTGCATTATTAATAGTGTAATAGTGTTTCTATTTTAGACCACTAGTTTGTCATTTTCTCCATGATGCTCGCAAATGTGCTTCTTGCATAAGAAAAAGACCAGAGACTTTACTCTCAACAGCAGCCTTAGTGATAATCATTTCTTTCCTGACCACGGTGTGGATGATACCTCTGTAAGGAGGTCTGCCTAAGAGATGAGATGAGGACAGAGGCTGGAAAAAAGGCTGTTAAGTGTGTCCACTTACTCAGGAAACTTGGGTGTGGAAAAGGGAATTTTCCTAGCAACAGTTCAGAACCACTGACTCCTTTTAAGTAAGTGGATCACATGCAATGGAAATAACTGAAAATATGACGGTGGATGAGAGACAGACTCGGGACAGGACGATCTACACAGCAATGCCATATGTCATCTGAAACTGGAGACATAGCTTTGCTCATCAAGCAACTAGTGCAAATATGCATTTATTGACCATGGGTGGCTCTGCACATGAAGCCATAATGCGATCGAAGCAGAGGAAGAAAGTCATTGACTCAACCTGCTGGCTTGAAGTCTGAGTATTAAGTTATGGTCTTTCCAGGAGGACAAGTCTTCCAATTTGGGCAATTCATGGCCAGAACCTATATGTCAGCTTTAAACCTGGGGTGCAATTCAATAGCACATACTTTTCCAAAGAGAGTTAGGGTCTGAAAAATGATAAAAGATGGTTTTGTTGTTTATTTTTTTAAAGCATAGTTTTGCTTTATGTTAATATAAATGGCAGTACCAAAATAAAATCACTGGATCGGGGTTTTAAAAACGGCATTTGGTGTTTTTCTACCATCTGAGATCAGAGAAATTGGAATTTCTGTCTTGTTGGCCGAGTTTTTCACATGGTCCATTAACCCCAAACCTTCACTTTAGCCATTCCTTAAGAGCAGCCTTTTTGAGTGCAATCATGTATTTGTACGATGGCCCAGACACACACACTACTATAATTTATACACAACAACTAATCTACTTTCTTCTTTTTTTAAAAAAAACACATAATTGCATTTATAGTGATGATGCTATCAATTCTGAATAACAAGCACCCTTTTACCTGTGTTATCAAGAATCACGATTATCCAGCCTGAAGTTCTGCTTAACTTTCTTAATAGATCTCATTTCAGATTAACAATTGACTAATTGGTCTGGGATTTTTTTTCCTCTCCATTTTTTGATTCTCAGAACAAAGATCAATTTTGGCAGCCACCTTAGAACGGCAGTTCTGGCCAAAGAAATTTAACGGAGGGAAAAAAGAAAATTCAATCCAGATAATCACATTCCATCTAACGTTCAAAGTTAACCTTCTCCCTAACCCTCAAAACAGTACCCCAGTATCTTCCCATTGCTTTTAATTGATACCCTTAATAAAGATCATAAAACCCCACCATACTGGATGCTTAAACAAACACAAATAATGGAGAAGAGTAAACATGTTACCCAAACCCTCATTTTTATAGCTGAAAATTGGGCAGCTTATTAAAAAAAATAGAAATGATTTAAAAGGCTACAGCCCATTTTTCTCGTTTATTTAATAATACTTCTTCTTGCCTTTTACCTATGACACTAACTTTCCAACAACCATAACTACTCTCTCTCCCCCTCCCACCTCCCCCATTGGCTCAACATTACTTGCAACAATGCCTCTTGGATTGTTGCCAGTTAATAATACTGCAGAACTGACGCTGTGACACTTTCCAGGGCACAACAGTGCACAGAGCCACCAAAGAGCTACCAGGTAACGTAGTGGGTAAAATAGTTTTTCTCCCCTTCAAAGCTGAGTGTGCCTTCTTTGCCATGAAGGTTGGCATGTGCTGCCAGGGTTCTCTGCTACCTCCCAGAAACCATTTCGGAGCCTTTGATTTCCACCCAAATGGAATCGAGCTTGCTCATGACAGCATCACTCGGGAAGAAGTTCCTGGCAGAAAACACTGTCTTTCCTTCTGCCTCAAGGGACCACTTTCCATTGAGACACAAGCCCAGCCCATCTCCTTCTCCTTTTGGAAAACAAACAAGGTGGAGCACCTGAGCTGTTCCCTTACACCTGGGTCTGGTGCTGAGTCTCAACGAATGGAATGTGCAGGCTGGCGAGGCTGAGCTCCCCCACGCTCTCATAGTCACTCATGGCTACTTCAGAGTTGTCAAAGCCACAGTTGGCTGACACATCCGAGGATGAGGTGCCCCCAGAATTGTGCAAGGATAAAGATACACTGTCTGATGGTCCTGTGGCCTCTGGGCCCTGGTTCATGCTCACGGCAAAAGTACTAAATTCACAGCTGGCCGGTGGGCCCACCAGATCTGTCTCGTTGGGGAATGGGTGAGGAGGGAGGTACTGGCTCGGGTGGAACTGCGGCCTTCTCCTGCAGTCTGGACTCAGCGTGCTGGCCAGCGAGACAGGCTGGGAGGGTGGCAGGGCCTCATACTGGTCTGCAAAGTCTTCAGGCAGGGGCGGGGGCAGCTGGTCCTGACTCAGGAACTCCTCTTCATGAGGGGGTGGGTACTCGCTGTCGATGTCATAGCCTCCCAGGTAGTAATCGCTTTCCAGCTCCCGCGTGCTGCCCTGATGCGCAGAGCCTCCATCCTGGGCCTCATAGTTGGGCACTTCCTCTATGTCCGACAGGCGGGCCCCTGGCATCCAGTCAGACGTATCCCAGTGATAGGCTGGGAGAGAAAAGGCAAAGACAGTTATCTCCCTGCGTGTTGCGGCTGGGCAGGGCTGGGAAGGGAGCAGAGAAGGAACCTGACATGCAAGTCTTAACATCCAAGGGACCCACGAAGCCAGGGCCATCCACATGCTCCTTCCAAGGGCCCCTGGAAGAAAGATGACAGCTGCTCTCAGGGATGATGGTGTGTGGCCAACATAGAGACCCACACAGAGCCATGCCATGAGGGATGGCAGGCAGGGATGTGCTGAGGAACAGAGTTCTAGGCCCCCCCCACGCCAAACTTCTCCCCATCTACATGCTATGCCCAGAGTAAGACTGGGCACATGCTCGCAGGGAGAGATGCACCAGCTGGACCATGGACCACAGAAGGCAGGGGGATTGCAGGCAAGTGGATGAGTCACATGGGGGAGGTATGGATTGGGGGGGATGCTGGTGAGGCTTTCAGATTAACAGTGAGCACCCCAGACACTGGATCATGCACAGCTCAGAGGAGAGAACTGAGAGAATGGGGGAACAGGACAGACGCAGTAAATCAGAATGCATAAATCAAATGGCAGGTATGAGCTCAGCACGGTCACCTCGGTTGTAGTTCTGTCCTTGATCCATGACAGACACTGTTTAGATACAAAGTGAAAAAGGAGACTGAAAAATCCAAGCCATGTAAAGAGGAGTAACACAGGACATTTTAACCAGTTTCAAACAAATAGATAAATGACAACAGCAGAACAAGACCAAACATGCTTTGAAGTTCTAGTGGCTATGACTGATTTTAGCCTTTCAAGCATCTCTCTATATTGGTTAGAAAAGAAAAGATAAATTCCATCTATGTCAGGCCTTAATCTCATCAAGGCACTAAAAAATACTATCGGTTTAAAATCTATCCTTACGACACTGTAAATGTGAATGTTAAACAGACCCAGCACATAATAGGTGCTCAATGAATATCTGTCAAATGTAAAGATGATGTTAATATTAATTGGGTCCTCTTTCCCAGAAGGGAATTTCTTGAAAGAGCACCCAAATGTTTAAAAAGAAACTTATCGACTAATTGTTTTCTTACAATTGTCAAAGTTACTCTAATCAATAAACATCCAGTGTCTCATTTGTGATAGCCCCCTCACTGTATGCTCCCTTTGTTGCTAGCTGATTTAAACCACCCTCCAGACAAGGAATCAAAATTTCCCAAAGGATAGCTTTTCAGACAACGACATGCTATGGAAGAAAAAAAGTAAATACCTTCATTTTCTATATTGTCAACGACATTGTTGACAAGCTGAATGACAGTCACTATGGACGCTGTGGTCAGGGAGGGCCAGAAAGAGGGAGGGGAAGGACAGCTGCAGGTTAGCGTGTTTTAAACACATACATTAACATCTTTTTTATGACAACAGCAACAACAAAGATACAACATGCAGATCCCCAAAGCTTTCCCACAATCCTGTCTTCTTTACTTCCTGCTTCTCTGTAAGGATTCTAGAATTCTTGCAGAGGAAGTGAAATAAACAGCAAACTGGGGACTAGTCTTCTTGAAAGGCATTATGGGCAAAGCCTTTGAGGCCATTGGTTCATAGCAACTAGCCCAGTGGTAGGCAGTGGGTAGCTTTGCTTACGTTGGTTCCTCATAAATAACTCCCACATGCTCTTGGAGCAAGAGATCATGATTCCCAGGGGTAAGTATTTATTAGGCAGCACTGGTGGAACTGCACTGCCAAGTTAGAGGCACATGGTTCGAATCCACCAGATGCCCCAAAAAAGAAAAATGTGCAATCTGCAATCTTTTCCTGTACAAATTACTGCCTCTGAAAACCTGCTTGAGGGTCAGCTACGGGTTGGTTTGGACTGAATGTCTCACAACACTGTCCATCACTGCCCTGTATTTCCAGATCTCCACCAGATCATTCAGATTTCCTTTACCACCTCTCTCTCCATCCATCAAATTGTGTGACCTTATGATTTCCCCCGGCCATTCCTCACCCCTCTGTTCCTACCCTCCCCCTCTTGGATCCTCAAATATGTTTTACTATCTTTCTATTTCTACAATAATGGTCTTATTCAGTATTTGTCCTTGTGGAACTGAGTTAGTTCACTCAGCATGATGCTTTCCTGTCTCTCCCAAGTTAGGTAGTATTTTTCAAAATCATTGCTCCTGAGTGTTGAGTAGTATTCCATCATATGAATGTGCCACAATTTCTCAATGCATTTGATTGTGGTTGGACATTTGGGCTGTTTCCATGTTCTTGCTATGCTGAATAATGCTGCTATGAACATTGTATAAATTTCTGTTTCTGTCTCTGTCCTAATTTTCTGAGGTCATACTCCAAGCAGTGGAATAGTTGGGTCATATGAAATGTCTATGTTCAACTTTTTGAGGAAACACCAAACTGCCTTCCAGAGTGGTTGTACCATTTTACAATCCAACCAACAGTGTGTAAGTTTCTATATCTCTGCATCTTCTCCAACATTGATTGCTTGCTGTCCTGTGAATCTTTGTCAGGGCAGTAATCTTGTAGAGGTCTTCAGTTGCTAGAAACTTTGAACCCTCTTCACTTTACTTGGGACCACTCAGTATGTTTTGCAGGAAAAGTCAAACATGTGGCCTGAGGCAAACAGACAACAGAGCGCATGAGCGTAGTCACCTGGTGTCACTGATGGAGCTGACGTCAGGAGTTTGAAAACTATGTGCTCTTGGTTGTTTCTGTATGAAATGCAAAGCAGTTATAGATTCTCCCCTGGCTAGGATGAGGAAAAAGGAAAAAGGCAGCACCAAGATCTGGAGGTGGGCCATTCTCCCAATTTAGAAAAGAGAAGGACCACTGTCAGGTGGTTTATTATCCCAGAAGTAAGGAATAGCCCAAGGGTCTGCTTTGCTTACACATTGAAGGTGGTGGTGGAAGAGACCAGGGGTGCAGAAGGTGCAAAGGTAGACTATATTAAGGAGCTGTGCTAAAAACCCAATGGCAGGCGGTTCAAATCCACCAATTGCTCAGAGGTAGAAAGATGGACAATCACCTCCCATGAAATCTGCTGCCTCTGAAAACCCACTGGAGGATCGGCTATGAATCAGTTTCCACCCAATGGCACATAACAACAACAGCTTCTATGGTCCCAGAACCAAGTTGCTTTGTTATTTATCCCAAGGCAAGGACAACATCATTATCATGTTGGACAAACCATTGCAGAATAGGGTTCATCACACAGGAGCAACTCCACAAGAGGTTTTTGAGTGAACAGTTACATTTATTAATAAACAGTCAATTTTTGCCAACTGCTAATAAATGCTAAGATGATCTAAGGTGTAGATTGGAGTGAGGCTATCTGGCTCTGCGGATGACTAATATTTCACAATTTATGACAATTTCTGCTTTGTTGGGGCCCACACATCCTCTAAAGCTAGTTCCTCAGCTCAGAAAACCCAGTCCGTCATTAGAACCTTCTCTACAAACACAGATTTACAAGAGGTAGAAGAAAGAGCTGTGGAATGTCAATGAAACACATGGAACCTCGTGTAATATTTTGGAAGTGTGTGTATATTTTCCTGAGAGGTTAAGCCATAGCTTTAACAGTTCCTCCAAAAGTCCATTCCAACTCACAGCAACTTGAAGTTTCCAGCACAGAACTGCGCTCCACCGAGCGTTCGCAGCTGTGACCTGAAAGCCAACCATCAAACTTTTCTTCTGAACCACCTTTTTGTGGGTTCAAACCATTAACCTTTTCTTCTACCCCCATGAACCCCTTGAAAATCCTCAAAGGAGGTAAGGGGAGGATCATTTGAAGGTTGCTCTTACCAAGTGAAGCAATTACTGTCTCTAAATGAAAAGCCATTGAGGATAAATTGGATGTGAAGAGGAAAGAGAGCACTCATATAACTAAAAAAAGAAATAAAGTGCACAGTTTGCTAGAAAAAAGAGCCCAGGTGTTAGAGTGTATATGTACTAATTCGCTAATCAAAAGGTTGGTGGTTTAAAGATACCATCTATTCTTTAAAAAGTTAAGAAACTAAGAATTCAGTACTGCCTTCCCATAAAGATTCACAGCCTCAGAAGCTATGTGGAGAATCGTCAGAGGCATAGGGTTGGTTGGGATTTGGTTCACTCAAGAGTGTTGGTTGGGACAAGGCAGCTAGCTCCACCTTGAACCCTCATGAAAACAAAGAGGATTCATAACTCTGGTACCGAAGGAACTCCATCAGTCCCTGAGGCGGCTCCTTAGGCTGCTCCTGGCTGATGTCCTTCTTCACTAAGAACATCCAGTAACAAATCTACTAGCAAATATGCTCCAATGTCCCAGGGCCACGTTGAGCGACTAAGCTGGTTGCATTCCCCCCTCCCTTCCTTCTCTGGAAGCAGAACCCAGCCTCAAGAATCGAATCTCATGAGCACTTACCATTGTCATCACCGGAATCCGACTGGAAGGAGCTGAGGGACTGGACCTCTGAATTGCTGCCTTTATTACTGCCGGCGAAGCACGTAACGTCTCCTGAGTCATCCACCCCTTTGTCTTCATGGACAGCCACAGAGAAAGCAGAAGGGACACTGGTTACCTTGTGCAAATTCCCAGCCCTGCCCCTCCAGAGTTCACTCCTTTGAGCTCTTTCATTGGCTTGGAGAAAATCATTTAGCTCCACAACAGAAAATTGATTGTGCCACCAGGGGCAAAGGTCTGTCAATCAAGTGATTTATATTATGGATTCAAGGCCCTTAACCCTCAGCAAATGAGCTTCTACATAGCTGACAGCTGCAAGGAGCTGTTCCTTCCTCGGAGCGAAGTGACGAAGGGAAAAGTGAAGCCCAGATGAAGCGACTGGGCTGCCCTTTGCCATTCGGAGTGAATTTAAATCATTTACACAAACCCATGTGGTGTCAACACCGGGTTAAACGAGATTACTTTTAAAATAAGGGTATAAATAGTTTATAAGCAAGAGCACCATTACATTTATCCTAATTTCTTCTCTGGGGAGCCCGTGGACTTTTCATCTTGGGTCCGTTAGAGGGCAGCGCTGCATTAGATTTGGGAATGACCAGCTCCCTCCTGGGGGCAGTCAGTGGTATGGACATGCTCTCATGTCCACTTCCTGCCACTCTGCTATGGTATACACAGCCTGAACAACCAACACTTCTCTGTCTCTCACTCTCTCTGATTACTTTCTTATTTGATGGACTAAAAGAAGCAATATAACAGTCCATGTCTTGAGCCTGTCAAGGGAAAAAAGGCCTTGGCCACTCAGAGGTAGTCTTGCTAGCTGCTAACTCTGCTTGCTTAGCAAAGAAGGAAATGTATTACATAAACACACAACAATATTTTAGAGGGAGTGTTCGTGGTCCTGAGTTCTGGTCCAAGGAGGAGTCTGGAAATAAAGCTGCCACGTCACAAGGCTAAGGGTGGGGGCAGAGTTTGATGATCACCAGGAAGGGCCTCAAATCATCACATAATATAATGGCATGAAGATGCAGACACATGATTAAGGGAATGGTTGTTTTTTGCTGTGGCCACAGAAGTTCCTGCTTCTCCCACAAATGGTGAGGGCACGAGCTGGCACAGTGGCTCTGCATCTCTTGTCAGAGGCTGAAGCCACAGCAAAATGATGAGCTGGATAAACAACTGGTATAAGTGGAGAGAGATGCCTGGGAGAAATTCACCACCCCACAGCCATATAGCAGAAAATATGAAGATATGCCTCGGTACTGCATAATGTGTGTGTACCCAGGTAGTTCAAGGAAGGAAATGATGAATAGTCTACCTTGTGACTATGGTGCCGGACATAAAATTCCCCTCTCCGCTCCTCCATTTTAGTCAAAACTCTCTTTGTTTTACTGCTTACATGAAAAAGAGCTTTTCTATTAGCTAGTGGATGGGCAAGACTGTGGTGAAGGCAGAGATAAAAGATAACTTGAGAATGGATTTATTTAAGGGTTAGAATCAAGGACAACTACTTAAAATGGAAGTGTGTATGTAGAAAGCCAGGATTAGCAAAGAGCAGTGCTGGGGCAGCAGTGAAATAGCAAGAACTTGCCATCTTCCTATCATCATGAAATATTCTTGCTTTGCTAACCCCATCCCTCCACATTCCAGGAGGTATTATGTTCAAATCCTGCCTCTTCCACTTAGGAATTACACGTTCAAAGACAAGTTACTGAACCTAGTCAAGTGGCAGTTTTTTTCTCTCCATGTGATGATGGGCTGGTGATGGTGCCATCATGGGGAGCTGGAAAGATTAAGGAGATGGCCTGGCATTGTGTGCAGCACACAGCTGTGTGGGCACTGGCACCCTGTTTTCTCACCATCTCTCCTCCTCAACTCTTGCAGTCTGGCTTCTGCCTTAACATCACTAAGAATCTTCCACGCATGCTCAGTAGCTTGCTCTTTTTCTAGCCTGTGTTCTGCTTGACCGTGCCATAGTCCAGACACTGCTGACCTTGGCACTCTTGTCTCTTTGCCTTCTCTATTCCTCCTCTGGCTTTATTGGGCTGTAGTTGTCTCCTTTCCTGGTCCCTCCCTGCTTCCCACTTCCTCCATCCCTTTCCTGCATGCAAGCATTCGCCAAAAGTCTTCCAGAATTCTGGTTTTACATCTCTCCACATTTACTCTCTCTGTGAACTCCGCCTAATAGAGGCTCTATCATCCTCCATGCAAATGATGTCCAAACCTACAGTGATGGCCTTGACCTTTCTTCTGAAAAAAAGAACCAGACACATCCTTCAAGTGGCCTCTCTTGTCCCTTCCACAATGATGGACCTACTGATTGCCTCTGCAAGGCCCTTCCCAATACCATCTCTATAGAGATCTTCCAATTGATTCTGGCTCATGTGTCAAGGGAGAGCTGTGCTCTGTCCTAGATAGACCGAATCAATCAGAATCCGTTTTAACAAGATTTCCAGGTAATTCTTACAGATACTCTACAAGAACCTAAATAAACTGTAGATTCTAATACAGTATAGGGAGCTCTGATGGCCTAGTGGCAAGAAGCTGTACTGTAATCCCCAAAGGCATGAGGGTTCGAGTCCACCAGCTGCTCTGTGGGAGAAGGATGGGCAATCTCCCGTGCAATTAACTGCCTCTGAAAACCTGCCGTAGGGTCAGCTATGGGTCAGTTCCTACTTGATGGTACACAACAACAACAACAATCCAGTATATCTGAGATTGTTGTGTGCCGTAGAGTCGGAACTGACCTATAGCTGACAGTCTAATGGGTTTTCAGAGGCAGTAAATTTCCTAGGAGGAGACTGCCTATCCTTCTCCCATCCTTTTTCTTATCTGAGGTTGAAATGCTGATTTACAAAAAGAAGTCAGGGCAGAACTGTTGGAAGCCTTGTCTTAAAATGAACCCACTTACTCTCCACTGGTGTTTATCAAGCTCCAATAGAACTGATCTGTTTTCTTTGTTTTTGCACAATGAGCTCTTCATACCCCAGGGCTTTTGCACCTGCAACACTTCCTGGTGCCTAGAATACTGGGGTGGGGGGTGGCGGGGGCGGGGGGTGAGGCCAGAGCAGAGAAAACATCATCCTCTGGCTCAGATATTTCCTCCTCGATTCACATTCTTGTTTCAGGGACCTTGAATTCCAGTTAAATAAAATGACCCCTTTCCCCTCTTACTATGTAAATACTACATAAAGTGTCTTCCTGTTCCCAGGCCCTTTAACCTAGCAAGCTCCAACTCAAATGGCCCTCCAGCTTCCTCAGGTATTCAACTGACTAGAAATACTTTCTTCTCTGACTTCCCAGAGCACACTTTATGTCATTTTTGTTAATCAGTGACTTGAGTTACCTCCTAATGTGGCATTATTAGGGGAAGAAAGTGGGTTTTATACTTGAGCAGACTTGGAATTGGGTAATGTCTGCTCTTTCTACTTGTGTGAACAGAGGAACCTTAGTTACCCTCTCCAGGCCTCATCTTTTCCATCTAATGTTTTGGTGTTGGAACCAAGTACTGAATATCCCATGGAGTGTCCTAAGAGCAGACTGACTGATAGGTCTTGGAGAAAGTGTAGCCAGAATGCTCACTGCAGGCAAAGACGATAAAGCATCGTCTCTGATACACCGAGCATGTTGCTAGGAGGGGGTAGACCTTGGAGAGGGACATCATGCTTAGAAAGGTGATCAGTGAAAAAGAGGAAGTCCCTCAACCAGATGGCCTTACAGATACAGATAGTGACTGCTGCAATAGGCTTGAGTGTGTCAGAAAAGATGAGGATGGCACAGGTAAGGGAGGGTTCAGATCTGTTGTACTCAACTCGAGGGCATCTAGCAGCAACTACAACAAATGGGAACAGCAATAGTAAGCTTAACCCTTCCCAATGTTGTGCCAATGAAGGCAGAACATGTCCTGCCGAGGCACAGGGCTTTCCCGTTAACAGCACCGATTCAAGGAACAGATGCCACACCATCCACTGTCTACTCACTTTCCGTCCCTGCGTCCCAGCCATTCTTCCGGATGGAGTCACAGTCTGAGCGACAGGGCGACACGGCCGGGAGGTTGGGGGCCACGCTGCACACGACCACACCCCGCCTGGCCGTGAGGATGCGCGGGGACTCCGGGTGGAAGGTGGTCATCTCCTGGTGCTCGCCGCCCAGCCCGTCCACGATCTTGTCCAGGTTGCTCCTGGAGTCGCTCTGGAAGCAGGGCGTGTAGGCCATGGGGCGCACGGGCACCTGCGGGGGCCCCACCTCCTGGTAGACATTGCGGCTGTCGCCGGCGCGCAGGCTCCGGAAGGGCACGCCGTTGCTCTTGTGCAGCAGCGCCGCCGTGGCGGGGTCCTGCACCAGCGTGATGTTGTTGCGCGAGTAGTTCTTGCGGAAGACCTTCTTGCGGAAGACGATGAAGAGGACGACGAGCAGGAAGATGATGAGGAGCACGCCGGCAATACCGATGAGCTCCTCCTTGCCCACGTAGGCGTGGCCTGCCTGGATGTCCGGCACCACCACGGGCCGTAGCGCGCAGTGCTGGCCCACGAAGCCCGCCGTGCAGTTGCACAGGAACGAGCCGAACACGTTCACGCATGCGCCCCCGTTCTCGCACTCCTCGCGCTCACACTCATCGATGTCCTCTTCACACCTACGGCCACAGACAACAAGGCCCCCCTCGGACATCGGCACCCATGGACGCGGGCCTGCATCCGAGGCTTGGGAAAAACCAACCTCTTTAAGAAAAGCCGCTCCAGGGGACAGATGGAGAATGGCGTGGGGGGTGGGTGGGGATGGAGATTGAGGCGTCTAGGGCCCACCGATGGTTCCGAGTCATCATGGTGAGTTAGGGTGCTTCACTCTGGGAACCTCGTCTCCCTTCGTTGGTGTGATTTAACTCTTGTATATGAAGCTCTCTGGTGGCTTAGTGGTAAAGAACTGCACTATCAATACAAAGGTACACAGTTCGAACCCACCAGCTGTTTCTCGGGAAAATAATGGGCCATCTCCTCCCTTGTGATTTGGAAACTCCCTGGAGAATCAGTTAGTTATTAATTAGTTCCGACTCAATGGTACTCAACAGTAACAACAACAACAACAAGGAAGGAAAGACTGGAGGGAAGAGAAGAAAAATGACAACAGACGCTATTGAAGAGGTCTACACACCCTGGCATTTCAGCACTTAAAGAATTACAGCTTTAGAAAGGACATACAGTGGTATCTCATTAGGCAACATCTTAGTCCTCATACAAAACAAAAAGAACAGACACACAAACTGGTGAGGTCATAAAACCAAAAACACCCTTCTTCTTTGCATGAACTGGCCCTGTGTCTCAGAATTGTGGTCCACAGGGTTCTCCCTACTGAATGTTTGGAATGTAGAGCTCCAGGCCTTTCTTCTGAGGATCTCCTACATGGGACTCAAACCTCCATGCTTTTAGTTGGCAGCTGGAGCCTAGATAAATCTGTCCTACCCAGGGTCTTAGATGCTGTTATTAAAAACAAACATATCAATAGAAAAAACAAAACAAAGAACACTCTCATACACAAAAATACCCCCCAAAATCCACTGCTGTTAAGTTGATTCTAACTCACAGGTTAGTCACTGCATTCCCTCTGAGAAGCGAAGTGGGAGCTCTGGTGGTATAATGCATGCATTACTTATAATGCTGCCAATGGAAAGGTCAGTGATCCAAAGTCACTGACTATGCCATAAACATTTACAGCCTCAGGAACCTGATCAGGGGTCACTGGGAGTGGGAACTGACTCCATGTAGTGGGTCGTGTTGGGTTTGAGGAGGGGAAGGGTGGCAGGAGGTTGATGGGTGGGATGTCGGGAACTCATCGCTATTTCTTCTGCCTTCTGTGCTTATGTTAAAGGTCAGAGCTACCTTTAACTTAACATTTTTAGGAGAAAAAAAGACAAAAATTGATTTTTTTGCCAAGATTATGTACATATATTTCTAAAATTATCAAGAATGTTTCAAGTGATGTTTCTCCTCT